TTTATTGTTTTTATTTCTTGTAAAAACATAGCAAGGGGTTATAAAAAGTACAATAATAAAACCCTTGAGAAAACAAAGCAAAGGAATTACTGTTTTTGTTCTTGTTTCTCTTTCCTTTTGCGAAATAAAGAAAACAAACAAAACGGAAACTGTGCTGGAAAAACAATGTTATACCCAACCCTGAAAATTTTTAACATCACTCTCTACTTCTTGTAGACCAAAAGCACACACTTAACGGTTGTTATGCTGTTTTTTAAATTAAACCATTTTTCATGAATTTATTGTTCAGAATATTACAATAATTTCTTTTTTATTGCCAAAAAAAAAAAAACCATTTCTTCAAGTATTTGTTAAACCACCACCAAACATGCACAGATGTTAGTCCTTTAAACAAAAAAAAATACTACAAATATAAAAACAAATTTCTGAAATTTTTTTTAATTTACACTTGCATTGATTCGAATCTTTTGATATGAAATTTATTGTTATGTGTTTCGCAGAAATCTTATTGAAATTCCTTAAAGCGACAGTTTGACAGATTTCATTTGACAATTGCCACAACTCTGTGACATAATGTCAACATTAGCCCATGAAGTAATGCAAAATTTAGTTTTGTGTTAATAACTTGCTATTGATGGTTGGTTGACTGACTGAGTGCTGGGGTTGGGTTGGATTGCTGGCCTACATATAAGTTAGGCTGTGTTATAGTTGGTATGTTGCTTTGTATTATTGCAAAACAAATTTGCAATATTTCAGTTGGAATTGTTATTTGATTTTGTATTGGAGTGACACATATGCACACGCCCTTTGGTACATTTCGAAAACATCTGATTGATCTATAGTTTGCGGTCAACACAGTTATTAAACAGAAGTTGGAAATTCATTGTAATTGGATTCTGTAGAAGGTGGTACTAGGTTAGTTTGCTTAGTTCGAAGTGCAGCGAGTGCACTAAGCTGGAAGATGAATTTTAAATCGAATTGTTTAAGGAGTACTATAATTGAGCACTATAAATACATTTCGCTCTTTTTCTATTTGGACTATTAGTTCCACAAATCCTTCTATTTAAAAATATCGGTGATATTAGTTCCCTTTTCATTACTGCTTTGGATGCTCTATTCCGACATCTGTAATTTGTTTAAATTTAGCAACTACAACACCAGGTTCGATATGCAGAATCAGATGTATCGCGATCCTGGAAAATCGGGGCCATAAAATCACATGGTTTACAGAGGCGTTACGAGAAAAAAAATATTTCTATCTCTTTCGCACAAATGTTTACAAAAGTCGCAGAAAAGCTGATTTTAGACTTTTGTAAATGTCAAAAGTGGCACCTCTGTACAAATCTCAAGATGTTATAGATAGTTTTGAATCTCTCAAGGCTCTCGATCGTAGTAAGATCAAAACGTAAATTCTTTGCATACACTCTCTTGTTAACTCTATCCAATAGGTTTAATCTTTTCAATTGCATTGACTCGTATTCTAAATCTAACCAAACTCTTTCACGAATTGATATCGTTATGACATTTGAAGAAAACTATTTTGCAAAACCATGAGATCTATGACATTGAACATGATCGGCTATAGAAAAATTGGAACCCCAAAATGTTCTGATCTTAAGGCTTCTATATTGTATAAAAGTATGACTGGACTCATGTCAGAACGTTTGAGCTAGTCACAGTTACTTCAAAAGTTGTGTGGAAAATGAAGATCGCAGAATGAGATATTAAATACAAGCCTCTTTCATGATCTAGACTTAACAGTCCGAGCCCTTACAGAAAACTAATACACAAGCACAACACGAACTCTCCAAACTAAACAATGGCAACAAATATGTTGTAAATTAAGTTCACGCTCTTATAAATCTCTCTCTCTCTCTCTTTCTAGCTATCTCTGATCTAGACTGTCTTAAGGATGTGTCACTATGTGTATAGGAAGGAGTTGTCGATCGTTGTTCTGTAGACATACTTATTGGCATTGTAGGACTGTTGTCAGATTGTCATATCAGAACTTCTGTGCTAGTTACATCTAAAGTAGTTTAGAAGAAAACGATCTCAGAATGATTACAAGACTCTTTCATGATCTAGACCAACAATGGCCTAACAGTCCTCTGGCGGAATGACAATACAAGTTCTCAAACATAAATAACAACAACAACATTTACAAATATTTTGTAAATTAAATTTGCTCTCATTTAAAACTCTCTCTCTCTTTTTCTCTTTTTCTGGTCACCACTGATCTAGACCGCTTTAAGAATGTGTCACTAACGAATCTGTGTATAAGACTTATCGATCGTGGTTCTATAGACATACTTGTTGGTATTAATGATTGGACTCATGTCAGTACGTCTGAGCTAATCACAGTTACATCAAAAGTAGTTTAGAAGATAACGATTGCCGACCGAGATCATGAAACTCATTTAAAGTTCTCTCTCTTCTTAATTTTTGGAGAAAAGAAGATAAGAACGGATTGAAGAACGTCGGTAATATTCTAGATCCCCAATCGGCAGAGAGTAAAAAATAAGTTCTCTTATTGGTTTTTAACGTTTTTTATAGATGTGTATGCATACATGCGTGTGAAATTAAGAGTGCAAGAAAGCTCTTAACAAAGCTCTTTGCCGATCAGGGTTCTAGATACCTGAGTTTGCAAAAAAGCCTGTGGATCATTTATTCGCAACAGGAATATTGTTTTTTAAAAACAGATAGATCATTATTGTATTTAATAGATTTACGATCAACTCCATATACTTACTGGTACCTAAATAGTGTTTCTTTATCCAACTTAACTTTCCTTATAGATTTGGAAGTTTGGAGATTAAGAAATAGTCTAGGATAGACTGGAAGCTCAGTGTTTTTCATTACAACTGAAGAGGTAACGATGAGAAGATTAAAGACTTGAACTAATTCTGAATGCCAGTTTAATCCAGAGAACAAAGTTTATGTTACTAAAGTATTGAGCTGAGCTGCATCCGATTCTTGAGTCTCATCTGCGATTTGACATACCTACCGCGTTTGAAAGTTTGAAAAATTTTACTTTTAGCACTTTCTGCGCTAAGATACCTTCATTTATAAAATGTCATCTGAAAGTCCTTCCTGTCAGCTTTAAAATAAAGGCTTAACATCTGATATATGTTCTTTCTTCTATGAGATATTTTCACCTAAAGCTTTAAAACTCATGGTTTTGGCACTGCGATATTTCAAATCAGAGATATGATGGAGAAAATCTAATCAGATTCGCGTGGCTCAATCTTGTTCCCTGAGATTTGACTTTTTTACAATTTTGTCGACCTGTGTTAACGGATTAAACTGTAAGCTGGACTATAAAGACTTAGCTAGGCTGTATAATACGTTTTAAAGAACCGAAAGTTGTGTAAGGATTTAAATGGATTAGAATTTTATACGATTAACAAGGATTTACACAAAATATGGAGAAGATATTACGTTTCAGTATCCCAAATTATCCAGGTTTTGAACTAGTTGAGAATCTGACTAGAGCAACGTTGAAGATTCAGGCAAAAACCGGGGTATACTAGCTGAATTAGGTATTGCCGGTATAGTGTCACTACAACATGGAAAGCTTTATAAACGTATTGAATTAAAACTTCTACGATTGGTACAATAAGGTCTAAATTTATAAGAATTGAGTTGTAGTATAACTGCCTTATTCATAATAAGTTATCAAAGGTTTATAGAACAAATTTTGCATGAAAAACTGTCTTATAAACCTTATTCTTTATACTTCCTATATAGATTAAAACTGGTTGCCTTTTCTAGACTAATTTTCCAAGTGTATGTGTTCATAATCTCCATGTACATACACATAAATTATGTAATTGCCAAAGTCATGTTCATTTCAAAGTCGTGACTTTCCTTACTAACAAATTACTCTTTACTGAATCCTTTTGTATTTAGGAATATTTCTTCCTTCTTTTAAAAAAAAAATATATATACAATTAATACCAAGAAAATATTGTTTAATACAAGTATAATTTAAACATTAAAACAAAACGAAACAAAAGAATATTTAAATAATTTTAAGCAGCAAAAAAATATTTATACATATAATGAAAACATACATATAATGAAAACATACATATAATGAAAACATACATATAATGAAAACATACTATATATTTACATAAACATTATTTACACCCGCATTTAATTGTTTTTATATGTATGAATTTGTTTTTGAATTTATTATGAATTTTTCATGCTCACTTCATTATGAGTGTTTGTTTCAAGTGAAGTATGTATTTGGTGTGGCAAGATTGGTGTTCTAAACAGGCGCCTCTAATAACATTTGTTATGCTTCATAAATTTTCTTGCCACTGAGCGCCTAATGACACACTCCATAGAAATAAGTGTTGTTGTAATGTTATAATGTATAGAGAGTTTGGTATTTGAAAACAAAGTAATATTTCTTGTTGTCTTTAATTTATTTAATTAATTATGATTTTATTAATGAATAAGTTTGTTTAAGGTTTGTATATATATATATACATTTGATATGATTTAATTTAAATTTTAAAATAATTTGTTTAGTTTTTTTTTTTTTTCAAAAATATTAACAATTGAAGCGACAACTTTAGAAAGAAATCTCAACTCTACAGGGTTTTGCTATAAAAATAGAGGTGTAGTTCAAACCCCCCCATGGAGTATGCTCTAATTTGTATGGTTCATTAGAAAAAACTTTTTATATTTAAAATTAGGGGGAGTTTCTTCTTTTTAAAATCATTTGAGGCCTATTGTAATATGTTAAATTTATGGAAAACAATTAAGAAATTGTCATCAATCATGGTTGTATTTGTTTAAGTATTAAGTAAAGAAAATTGTGGAAAAACCTTAATTGTTTTGTTATAAATCATTAAACACTTAAGCAATCGATTATATACAAAGTTACATAATTACTTAACGCCAGAGCCATCATTTGTATAATTTTGAAATAATTTCTTAAGCTTTAGGTTTATGAAATTTAAAGTTAAAAAAAACAACAAACTTACGTATATATAGGCTTAACATTTCCTTGTCTATACCATATCACCAATTGTACTTTATCGGCTATCATAGTGCCGGGCATGAGATCACAAGGTAATGCCACCTCTAAACCAACGGCTGTTTGTACTTCAGATAAAGGACCTGTAACAAAAAACAATAAAAGAAAACAATCATTAAACTATTACATCAAAGTTACAACTACCTTACAAGTTAACAAATGTAAGCATTTGTTTAACACCGATAAAAAAAACCTTAATTAATTAACCTTAAATGTTTTCTTAATAACGCATTACCAATTTCCTAATTAATTAATGTATAAAATATACACAAATAATAAATACATGTCCACATATGTAAATATCTAGTAATAAAATTTTATTTGTTTACAAATATGGTTAATATAATAAACAAAAGCCGCTTATAAATTTTACATATATAAACTACTGCAAATAGCCAGTCAATCACTACATATAGACGTTATATCCATTAAAAAAGAAAAATGTCAAAATTTAATGTCATAACGTGACTTGAAAATGTCATTAAACTGAAATATGTATTAATGTCTGTCTGTATCGTTTAAGGAGTGAGTTTGTTTGTTAGCTTGTAAAAGATTTGATGATTAAAGCATTTATTAATTTGTTGTCAGAAGAGAACTTTTAAAAATATTTATACATAATATGAAGTCATTTTTATTAAGTGCTGATAAGATTTGTTTGGGTTACTTTTTGCGAAACGTTAAATTATAAAATATTTCTTGAGTCATCTTGATCCTTTTAAGTTTGCTTGTACTTTAACGACTACTTAATACTCTATAGGTCAAAGTATAACTAAGAATACAGTAATTTCGATACAGATCTGGAACTTTTATGGATCTAGATCGATCGATACTTCAATATTCCCATTTCGGGGGTAGATCAATAAAATAATAATCGAATTTCTATATACTTGAAGCAATATTTTATTAAAAACTAAAAGCTTTATTATACTACCTATTGAATGAGTAAGAGAAGATATGTACTCATGACAAAATCTATACTATAATCAACATACACAGTAGGTAGGCTCTTTCATGTTAGTTTTGATCAATAGATACAAATCAATAGGTAAGGAATTGCGGACTTATAAATTATAGTTCTATACAAGGAAATTAAAACAAACTTTTAACTGCTGAAATTTGAAACTTTGACATTATGAAAACCCTCAAAATGTATTCTGTCATAAACTCTTTCGGAAATCATGGGGACTTAAAGCACCTCTACTACTTATACAAATCCTTCATATGTATTAATGCAACATATATTGATAGAGCTGTTGCACTCTTTAAATCAGCGGCATGAATATCCACTGCTACTTAGGCAATGTGTAGGATTCTGGGAGTGGATCCTCTCCACTCCAACAACTAAGTATTAGAGAAACTCTTCACTTATAAGAGACTATCTTTACAATGATATCATGGCGGTCCATCAAGTGTTTCACATCTTCAGAAATTGGGTTTCCACATCAAACAAAGATGCGAATCGTGGGTTGAATCGGTGGTATATTTATGTTTCTGGGTCTTCTGGCCCACTTTGTCGCCATCCTTTCCTACTGGTGTTTGCTCTAAAGTTCTGCTTCAAAGTTTCCGACATATTTTGTCTCTGATATGCGATCGGGCACGTCCGATGATTGTGTATAGCCTTCCAATGTATCCAGTATACATTGATGACGTGTCCTATAACCGCTTTTGGCAAGTTCGCCTAAAGTAAAGAGCCGTTTGGTTGTAAGTGCCTGCCCATATCTTATATATGTTTCAATGGGTGGAATATCTAGCATTGTTTCCAGAGCCTTGGTTGACATAGTGCTCATGACTCCACTTATACCCAAACAGCATGTACGCTGAACTACCTGTAGTAGTTTGATATTACACTATTTTCCAATAAGTCCACCAGATTATTGAAGCATAACTTCGGATTGGTCTAATTACACTTTTATGGAGCCAATGTGTCATAGTAGGACTAAGGCCACATTTCATGCCATTGGTGCCTCCATCTTAATTTCCGGTCAAGTATTACACCTAAGTACTTAATTCTGTCTGTCACCGGTATCTTCTTGCCCAGGAAACTGGGTTCAATATACTCAGAAATTTTTGTGAAGAGACATATTTCTGTCTTCGCCGGTTTAACATTGAGGCCTCTAGGTTGAGCCCAGCTAAAGGCCGTTTTCAGAGCCTCCTCAGCCCTTCTACACAAGTAATTTGGAACCTTTCCCCTTAGAAGTATTACGATATTGTCTTCATAGCAGACAGGGACAAAATGCCGCCCTATGGTGTACCGTGAAATACCCTTTTCCTGATGGTTGTATCGTATATTTCGCAGCTTATCCATCTATTCCTTAGCATGTAGTTGATCCAGTTACGGAGCACACGGTCAACATAAAACTGGTCTAAGGATTGGATAAGAGTATCAGTGTGTACGTTATTGAAGACGCCTTCGATGTCAATACATAATCAATACAAATCTTTGACAGATATACGAAAAGCAGTCCCGCCCTCCTCTGCAAAAGTGCCGGGAAAATCCCATCCGATCCTGCAGCTTTATAGAGCGCAAAGCTTTTGATGGCCTCGTTAACCATGCCAGTTGTAATTACTATTTCTGTGTTCGCCTCCACTTCCTCCAATACTATATATATGAAAAGCATATTCTTATTCATCTGGGGGTACTACCGAACATAATCGACGAATGGCCCGAAAAAGGTAAATTTCTATGTTGTTGTAACGCTCTTTAAGAGCCCAGAGTATTATATGTATCTTGGTACAAGGTTCTTTCATGATGTAAAATGAGCCATTAGCAGATTGTTTTTAGACTAAACTATTTGGCAAACTTATATTCGTACACAGAGGAAAAATGAAATATACACTCCTGGTACCAAATTGACACCAAACTGTTTATAATTTTTCAGTACCATCCCTTGTCAAAGTATATATGTACATACGTACGACAATACTATGTAATGTTGACAACATTGCAACAATTCGTTGTCGAAATCTAAATTTCGACAAACAATCCGTTGGCAATAGTGAGCTTACCACGTTTGTTAACATTTAGACAACAGATGTGTATATAACTTAGATTTCGACAACGAATTGTTTCAATGTTGACAACGTTGCGTTGTCAACATTACATAGTGTTGTCGTAAGTATGTACATATATACTTTGACAACGGAGCGGATGTTATTGAAAAATTATAAACTATTTGGTGTCAATTTGGTACCAGGCGTGTATATTTCCTTTTCCTCTGTGTATCTATTTGTGAACGATATCGATCAATTGACTTGCAAGAGTTCGATTTAGAGATTACTCACGTATTTTGACCTAAAAATCTTTACGTAGAATTCATGGGATTAAAAAGAACATTTTGAAATTAAATTATTCGTTTATTGATTAGGGTTCTATGAATTATTGAAAATTTTAAAAGAAACTTCGAAAGTCATCGTCCATCATTGTTATGACAAAGAAAATTGAAGAATTCTTTTTATAAAATTTCAAATTTTGTTAATATCTGGAAATCGTTCTAAAACTTAAAATTATGAATGAAAACTGTTTGTGTTTTATGAAACTCTTCCGAAAGAAAAATTAAATTATTCTAAACAAGTTTAATTCAAAAATTCATAATTAACTCTCTCTTATAAATCTAATATTAAGCTCAATGTTAATTCTACGAAATTATATGTATTAACCAGAACTTTACAGACCAAACCCTGTTTTCTATATATGATGATAAACATGTAACAACAAAATTATGAATATGGCACGATTATCATTTATGGAAAAAAATTATATTGATATAAATAATAACTGAACATTACAAATATCAATAGCATTTAACAAACAAACAGAGAAATTCCTTTGAAGTTAATTTCTGAGAAATATCCATACAAAATACGCCTATATTATATTAATATTTTGGTACATGAAAATTGCTTTTTATAAATATTATATGTACATTTGAACATGCCACAGCAATAACAGTTATAAGCACTATTTTAATAGTTTAAGTGACACAAACTATTTGCTACATGCTATACATATTAAATAGTTAGTGATATAGCTGCTATTACTTATAGTATTTATATGGTTTAATCTTTGACTACACACACTGTTTCCCTTCTTTACAGTTACTAACGTAGTAATAATTTATTACCAAAAACAAATGTTGAAAACAAATTCCCAAACCCCTACAAAAAAACATTCATTTGTAAGTAAGTATGTAAGTGGTTCATACGCATAATTTGATATTCCATCTAATACTGTCAGAGAAGCAGTTGAATGGACAAGGTTTGTTATTTTTTTTCCATTTTGGTGCGTGCACCCAATTGTGAATGAGTTAAAGGTCGATCGGTGTTCTTTGTATACCCCTCTGTACTACTTACATATGCAGCAGTTTAAACGTATTGAACCAATGTGTGGTTTGGTAAAATGTTTTAAAATACTAAAATGGGCGTTATATTGACGTCAATATACATTTACTAGTGCTACAAGCATTTTGGGGTCTTTTTTCAAAACTTTTTTTTTTTTAATTTGAAGTGCATGTTGTGTTTGATTACAACCATATAGAAACTTTATAAATGTTATAAAAATATGAAATTTGAATATCAAATATAGAAATTGACATAAAAACAAACAAAAAAAACTAAAACAATTAAATAAATTTGATATATTAAATAGTAAATGTTTGTAAAAAGTTTTACTTTGAAATTTAAGTTAATAAAAAAGTAGATTGAAATTATTCAAATTTTATAAATATAAAGAGTTATAATGAGTAATTTACATACATACGTTCATACGTAAGTACATAAAGTTATGAAATTTCAAAAGAATATGCTATTCAGCTAACTAAATAATATATTAAACAATAAAAATGTTAATTATTTAATAAATTTGCTAAAGTTTTGCAAAAAATATTCAATTCAGCTAGCTGAATATGAAATAAATTATGAAAAACTTAAAAAATAAGTATTAGAAATATAATAAAGCTATCTGAATAAGATTTAGCTAGCTGAATAATGCATTAAAGTTATTCAGCTGAACTAAATACATTGCAATTTAACTGTATTAATAGCATATATGGAGATTTTGTCAAATATGTATAAATTCAGCTAGCTG